AAAGACCTAAACTTTTCGAAAGTTTGGATAAATTTTATTTGTAATTATCTAGCTAAGCCAAAAGGGGAAGTTGGAATAAAATTTACTTTGCTATTTTAATGTAAGACCCACATTCTCTCTCTCTCTCTCTCTCTCTCTTTATTCTCATGAATATAAATTTCAATTATCTAAACAATATATTCAAAATGATAAATTTTATTTTTCATATATGATCAACTACATGGAACAAATTTCGTTGTAATTTTTATAAGACAATTAACAGTAAAATTTGCTAGCAAAAAAAAAATTAGGAAAAATTCCCATGCCAGTGAGGTAAAAATTACCAGGCTCCTGTCAAAAATTATTTTATTTTTATTAAAACTTACTGTACATCAATAAAGTTTTTCCTAATTTTTTTTAGAAAAATTTCATTACTCGTCATTTGCATTCGCTTTATAGCCACGAGTACGAGAATTTTTTTAATAAATTTTTCTTCATGCAGCTAAAAAAACTATTAATTTATAATTATTTTTGCTAATGAATTTTACGGTAAATTAACTTATAAAAATTACTATAAACTTTATTTAATAAAATAATTAGTTGAGTTAATTATTTTTTTTCGACTCTATTTTGTTGTTAAATCAACTAATTTGCTTTTTCATACAACAATTTTTTAAATCTCAGTTCAATTAACTAAATTTCCTTAACTACAAAATCCAGTTGAATATACTAAATCTTTTTTTTTTCCAGCACAGCTCTGTAATAAATTAAAATAAAAATCTTTTTATCTTTAAAGTCATTTTAGAATAAAGAAAGCGTTGAAAAATTCACCTATTGTCTGTTCATTTTTCTTCCACAATTCTCCGGAGAATTTTCTTGATCGTTATATTAAGACTAAAAAGGAGCGAACGTGCCCAAGTACTTAATAAAAAACTAATCCGTTAGAAGTTCCTAAGTGACCAGTTGTCACACATTTATTTCTCCTTATCCTTCTTTGGGATAGAATGGGAGTATTTTTGTTCTCTCGTGGTTGTATTCAGATTTTATTTGAGTTTGGGGAGAATTGGTCTGATAAATTGCGAGATGGAATATAGATCTGGGTGTAATACGGTTGGAACAAAGGTTAAATACAGCCGTAGCGTGTAATATATACTAAAGGCTCAGCAGCGGCATCAATACCGAGATGGGCCGGTGGTTTGTGTGACTATGTGCCGATCTCACTCACCCCCCTAGGAAATGGCATTCTGTAGGAATCAACGCGAAGACGAAGGAGTTTGGTGGGATGAAAGGGCGCGAGATAAAGAGAGAAGGAGTAATCATGTTATATATATATCTATATAAAGGATAGATAGATATACATAGCATGGGTTGTGGAAAGCACAAGTTAGTGTCTATATACGTAGAGATCGATAGAGGACAGAATCCCGGGACATCCCCAGCGATCTTGTTCTCTTATTCTTGCAAGAAACGTTCTCGCATACTTACTTATATAGTTTTCGTCTCTTTCACGTGTTCTCCTTTTGCATTAGCGCCATCGTCAAAGCATACATCACTTCTCTTAGGTACAATCTGGCCGTCTGCCTTTACACCAGCTTGACTAATTAGCGTATAATTATCGAGAGGGGATTTGAATGAGAGAAGTGGGATGATGATGGCGACAACGCAACCGCGCGACACCTGCTACGACGCACGCCACCACCATCTACCTCCATCACCCACACTCCCTCCTCCTTCTTCTTCAAAAAGCTCCATCAAACCCCTCTTAACGACATCCAAAGATCGCGAGAGAGATCTCGTCGGCGGATTCTGGATAAGCCGATTAAATCAGATCCCCGACCTATGTTTTCTCTAATGCCGAGTGAAATTCCCCCCTCCCCCTCTACCACCCCACCCACCATTAATCCTTTTGATTTATTGATAGCAATTGAATATTTTTTATTTACTATTGCTACTAGAGACCATTCTATTTTGCTCAGAAATTATGTACCATAAGCGTTTTCTTGTTTATTTTTTTCTCTACCTTTTATGAGCTTTCATCAGCTGCAAAACGAATTTTTTTCAAATAGAATAAGAATTGGAAAATTACAAAAGATTGAGTGACAATTGTTGATAAAATATGAATTTTTATAAAACACTTTTTTATAACGAGATTTTTAATTTTATTGCGTGTAAATTATTTTTTTGAAATGAAAAAAATTGATTAAAAAAATTCTGTAAAAGAATTTAATTTTTGAAGCTTCAAATCCTTCAAAGAACGAAATTCTATTAAACTGCATATTCGAAAATATTCATATCTCTCTCTGTATTTTGTAGATATTAAAGGTTTATTCTTGAAATTTGAATATAAAATTCTCATTTGAAAAAAAAATAATAATTAAAGCTGAAAAATGTAATTTTTATTTAAAGCTATAAAATAATGTTTTATTATGACTCTAGTGTAAAATTAAAATTACATCCCCACAATATTTTTATACCTTTCGTAAAAATTATAAAAAAATTACGATACATATACTTAAAGATTAAAGACAAAATTTTAGCCGAGTATATTGTTGTAATAAAAAATTTCTTAAGCCGTAAAAAAGTCATCAAACTCATGTGATCGATGGAGATTTTTTTTTGATTTACTAAATTCTTAATAAAAAGATGGTATTTTTTAATTCACCTAAATACTTTTTCCCAAGACATCTCCAACAAGATGTTTAAAAAAATAAAGAGCTTTTTTCAAGAATAAAAAAATAAATTAGAAATTTGCAGGAAAAAAAGGGGTCTTATGTTGAAACATCAAAGAAAGATAAACTGGTTATTTCTATTCCATCGTTATCTCAACCATAAACCGTCTCTCTTTCAAGCGTAAAAAGCAACAGGCCCATTTGGATTTAAGTACTTTGATGTATGCAGAAGGAGATATCGTGGCATAAAGAGTAATTGTAATTAGGGAGGGTTACAAAAGCTAGACTTTACTGTACAAGAAGGTATTATAGGTATTACACTACTTAGTGAGGATGAGAAGAGCGTACATGGGTAGTCCGCAAGCCACGAGAGTATCCATGTATCATCAGGATGTCGCTACCAGACGATAACTCGTCTTGGTTGATTTTGTTTTTGTTTCCAATGTAACTAGTGCCAATGTATATGGCATATATTGCTCGATTGGCTACAAATAAAATGGTCCATGTAACTCTTAAGAACTCATGTATCCGTGTATAAATCGACAAGTTTGAACAGCTCAAGAAATCACTTGCCTTCTTTTGTCTCTTAAACTCGCGCTAAAAAGTTTCTAGCACAAGTTTTACTCTCAATCTATTCTCTTTCCAACGGCACAAGTTGCTTTGTTTTGGGGTGAGAGCGAAACGAACTCGCTAGGGAATAATCTGGGCACTTGCAGATGCAGTGGGGAAAACAGGAAGCGGACATTCGAGAGGCTAAAGCATTCTGTATAGCGTTAAGAGAGAGCTTAAGGGCGCCGATGAGCTTAATTATTTTAGAAACTCACGATACTCCAACGTTCTCTACAACACAACTAAACTACGATCATTCGATAATTACCATGCGCCAACCGGATGAGTTTATGGCTTGAAGGATCGTTATTTAAATTAACGTACCTCTACATCTTCCTATTAATTATATTTACTTAATACCCCCCAATATTTCTTCCTCTATTATTTTATCTTCATAACAATACACACGTTTTGAAAAATGTCCTCGTGATGAATAGGATTATTAGAAGGTAAATGTGCCATAGTTAACTTTACCAAGAATACTTCAACATCAGGTCATAAGTTAATGACCTTTGAATACTAATTCTAATTAATTTTACCCATCGTATTAAATTTTCATTATTTTTCCCACTTTATGTTCTACTAAATACACTTGAACTCAAACTTTCGTTTTACTAAACAAACATTTTTTGTACTTGGTTAATTAATTTTATCATTCTTTATGTAGTAGTTAATGAGAAATACATTGAAAAAAACTTTTTTTTATACAAAAAAAAATATGTTGGATTAATACGAAGAATTTGAAATATTGGAAATAAAATATTGTATTTAATTTCGAATTCATGATAAGTTTAAGTAAAAGTAAAAGGCCAATAGATTAAAGTAAAAGGACAATAGATTAATTCTTACTTTCTAAGACACCATGGATCTTAAAAACAAATGAAATACTAAAATAAACCAATAAAAATATATTTTTTCAAAAATATTACCATGTTAATTCCGAAAAATATTTTACTGTGATCATTTAAAATTCTGATTTTATTATTTGAAAAAAATGTTACTTGTTCGTAATAAATTTTTATCACACTGTAGTTTTATTTAGATAAAAATATTCATTATGAGTTGATAATTAATTTTTCTCAAATATTCTATCACTTCTATTTATCAGCATTTGATAGTTTCAGTTTTTAGTCAATAAAGCTTCGAAATATGCTTTCTCTGATAACAGAGTATTAACACGACTGTGTCACAATACATTTGGAAAAAGGAAAAGAAATGTTTTATAAATTGTACGAGTAAACAAGGATCATATTTCGATTTCAACCCATTTTTTAGGTTTGAATCAACGAGTATTTTGTAGCTTCACTTTAAAAGGTGCTAGTTTTTTTTTATAGATCTAAGACACATTTTGCATGTGATATCTTTACTTTGACTACAAAAGTAGAGCTTTTGATATTATCATGTCAAATACGTGAACAGAAGACGCTTTTGATCGAGAATAATATTCGTGAATGTGTACTTGAGATTTGAAAAAGAGCAGGTGAACATTCAAATAGTTATTTTACATCATAAGTTAAAAATCATGAATAAAACTTCGATTTTCTTCAAATAAAAAATTCAAGAGTCTAAGGTTCATTGAACTTAATAAAATAAACTGAAACTCATTTATTACTATATCCTTTAAAACTGAATATTATCTTAAATTACCTTGCACCATTAACCATTTCATAAATATTGATATCATGTTTAAAACAAATAAATAATAAAAATAGACATTTACAATAAAGATTTATTGTATTTGATGTAGTGATAATTGAAATTGATTGCCTAGATGTTCAACAATGCTAAAAGTATAATTTTATTTCATTTAATTCCACTGAAGTTTGATTGAGTATTAATTAACTCACTCTCTTTTATTTCCATTCTTTTACTGTATTACTAATACATCATAGCACACCATAAAGTATAATAATACTTTATTTATAATACATTTTTTTAAACTGTCAAATACATACTAAGAAATATTTTTCTATCCAAGTTATCAAACTGTCAAAAGAAAGTAATTATTCATTCTATTCTTATCAAATAAATAGTAATCAACTACAAATGTACTGAGCCAAAGTTTGAATTATGATATTTACAGTAATATGATTAAATAATAATTATATTGATGATTTAAACAATCATGATAAATAAACAATGTATCCTCAAATTTCATGTTACTAATGTTAATTATTGGTCTGATTTGGTAATATGGAAATTGATTAGTCGAGTTTATTTAAACAGTTCTGTATGTCAATAAATGGTAAATAATGTGGCAGTAAGTCGTATCGTTATTACACAATTAAGTATAAATAAAATGCAAATGTATGTTATCAATGTGAGGCATGAATTCTGATAATTTTAGCCCAATATGCTGGATAGTATCTTTGAATGTAAGACAGTATTTTTTTGATATTCATCTTCTCTTGGGGAGTACATTGGATACATTGGTCTCGTAGAATTTGTGGAGCCAAAGCTGAAGCAAAAAAAAAGAAAATAATTAATACAATTGAAGAATGAAAAGTTGAAATAAGCTTAGATAAGATAATCCATGAAATTTACTCAGCAGTTGAAGGAAGTATGAATTCAGTGAGTTAAGAGATGTATAAAGGATAGAGTGAAAGACAATTAAGGTAAGTGAGATGAACAAGATCTTCCTTCCGGTAGTGCATCCGGAGAAAGTTGAAAGTTAAATGACAATTAAAATATTAGCATCATAAACTTACCTTTTAAACGTTTTCCTTGTGGATCACAGGGTGCTTCTCCTACAACACATTTTAAAAATCTTTCCATCAAACGATTATTTTTGTATAGAGCTTCCACCTCTTGAACTAGTGAATGTCGGCCTGTATTCTGACTCAACACAGCGTACACGGATATGCAAATGAGGAAAACCTGAAACAGAATAATCAGATACAAAATTTTCTGTCTACTCTCGGTATTTAATTAATGTGAATTATTCTTTAGCTACTTTAAATCCTTATCTGATTTAAGTTCAACAGTGATTTTCGTCGTATTAGTAAGTACAAACCTCTCATTATAATTATTATATTCACTTCTACACATCAAAGTCAATTAGTTAAATAAAAAAAAAAATTATTAAACTCACTTATTTTATGCAGATACTTGAAATTATTTTTTTTTTTTTTCATTACTTTAACAAGTGAAAAATTGTTCAATAAGTTACTTTTAAATGAGAAATAATTTTTATTGAAAGTTTTCACTGAAAAGAATAATACTTGTATCATTCAAGACGATTTTTTTTATTAAAATAAAATTAAATACATTTCAAGCAATGGAAGGTTTCTTTTTTTTTTTATTTTCAAATGTAAATCAGAAATTTTTTTTCTCTTCTCTTTACAAGACATTATCAAACTTTAAAATTTTTTATTCTGAACTGAGACTTTTTATCTCAGACAAAAGAATGTTAATTAAATCAATCCAACTAAATTAATTATTAATGACAATTTACTGAAGTGTATTTTCTATTATTAACAATTATAGCATTTTATTATTAAATAATAAAATAAATCAAGCATCTTTCTCTTAATGATTTTTTAAATTACACATTAGATTGTTCATTTTCTCTGCTTAATTGTTTCTATCCCAATTTCCATTGTTATCACAAATTAAACCGATCGACTGTGACTAATAATGCCTCCAATCATACAATAGTGAATAATTATTTTTGATGCTACAATATCTCTCGAATTATTAATCAATTAATTAAATAATAATATCATTAATAAACTAATCGATAATACTAGTAAATCCAGTGAAGAGTAATGATGATGTTCATTGATGGATTAATTAGTAAAAGAGAAAGAAGCGAGAAGAAATAAATCTGTAAGAATGATTTATTTACAATGAGATGAATAAAATAAGTAGTGTTGGCAACAATACATTGTAAATTACATACAACCTTCGATTTCGAATGAACGATTGCGTGCAATCGTAAAGTCGTAACCGAGAAAGTTGTGAGACGATCGAAAACTGACTTGATAAGTAGCCGCTTAGCATTCCACTCTGTTAGCCGCGAAAACACACTCTTTGCATAAATAATATTCGCACGGCTGCTGCTGTATCGATGTAATCGAGCCAGCTTTCCTCTCAAGTCGATATTCAAATCATTGTTTTCCAAATAAAACTATAACGATTTTTTTCTTCATGCTTCTTTTATTGTTATTTGTTTCTGTACCTATATAAGTATATCCGGTTCACTCTATATTGTTTTCTAAATCATTAAATATCAAATAAAATTAAATAAATAAATAATATTATTCCCCGCTAAAAATATGATACTTATGCTTGAACTTACTTTTATTAAGAGAGCCATGATGAAAGACAACAATTGGTTGATCTGGAGAGTATGACACTAAAGAGTTTTCAGGACTTGATATTGTCTAATATTGTCTGAACGTGACGACAGACAGAAAGACACTGATGTCCAAAGCCAGTTGTTAACTCTATGGTGGCCAATTGGGATCACACTCCTTTCACAACGAATTCTGGGGACACACTGCTATGTGTCTCAAGCTATTCACTTCTATATGCCCTGTCTCGAGAAATTTATAAATGTATCTATGTGTGTGTGTGGGTTAAACGTGACGTGATGTACAAGCACTTTTCTTCAATGCACGTATATCAATGTGACGTAAAAGATGCATTGAGAAAAATCGTAGTCACAGTGATAGAGGTATACCCTCTCCCTTAATGTCTGCACATTTTTTGTATTTGATGAGAATAGAAAGGGGGTGAGAAACAAAAAAAGTCATGGGATATGTGAAAAAATGAAAGATCAAGCCAAGATGTCGAATGAAGCTCCATGATAACCAACCAGATTTAACGATATTACTTCTACGTAGGTGTACGAAGAGAATCTCGTGGCACGATAACACAATTGGTAGTAAAAAGCGAGAACGGTGCTGCCCTACCGTAAAATACGATTAAATGCGCGTTGCAGCTGGAGATATATGAATGAAGTTTGTTTAAAAAAAAAAATTCGTGCCTGTGCTACGTAGATTACAAGTGGCAATCCACTTTTATACTTCAGTTCAGTCCGATGTTTCTTGTTTATTACTCTATACATTTTCAAAAATTTACATTTTGTTTATATATATTTTTTGGTAGAAAAATAGTAGCCATTTTTATTCCTTATTTGTCGGTTAGTTATTACTAAAATTACCAGAACGTCAACAAAATGGAATAAGAATGATTTTTTCCAAGTAAACATATTGGTATGGGAATAAATGAGTTTCAGGAGAAGAGTTTTGTTAAAAGCTTTATATGTTTGGTGAGTATTTGAGTATTTTATTTAATCAAACAATTGAGATTACATTCCCTAAAACTTTTTTTTTTTTATTAACAATGGATTTTTTTTTGTTTTTAGAAATAGATTTGTTTTGTAGTTTGTTAGAATGCATGAAATTTCAATTAAGTTGGACATTGAAAAGAGTTGATTTAACTAAGTTAGAAATTCCTCATTCCAAGAATGATTTATTATTTCATCATTTCTGATGGTTGTTTTCTTTTAGCAGGATTCATTAATCCACCAACAATGTTGTTCTTTTTAACTATAAAAAGTCAAAGTAATGTTCAGAAAATTGTAGGTTTATTATTGGATATCAAAAGTTGACATAAACTACAAAATTATAATGATCATACAACTTTTCCTTTAGTCTTTATTTCTTTTGCTAGAAAAAATTTCCTCAGGCTTTACTGTAGGTTTTTCCAATATTACAAATTATGAAATCTATTTATGTAAAAAGCAGCAGACAAATAACTGCAATAATAGAATGTTCAATTCATCATTGAATTAATGATACTCTGAAAGATAAATTAGCATTTAAAATAAAATTATTCAACAATTATTTGCTTAGATGAATGAAGAAAGAGCACGGAGAAAAAAAAATAACTGGAAAGTGTATATAGAAAGAGTGAATTACAGGGAAAGTTCATTGAGACAGGATCTTTCAATTGACAAACGGTTAGCAAGAGAAAGCAGGAAAGAAGTTATTACTTGCTTATTACTGAGAACCCAAGTATTTTTCAGTATCGTCATAAGAAATCACTTAGCCTTTAAATGTTAAAAGTTTATTTCGTGCAAAAGCGTACATTTAATTCATCAGACGTTTTGAAATGAAAGTGACTAAATGAGAATCTTGATTACTGCTTTGTACTAAAGAAAATAAAATTTTGTCGTATTTATCTGTTAAATTAACTTTTTATTTCATTTCCTCTGACATTTACTATTGTTATAAACCTACATTAATTTAAGAATAGAGCTTTACAATTTCAATTTTGTTCAATTTAATAGGTGTCACTAAGGATAAATATAATGTAGTGAATGTGTATTGGTTAAGAAGTAGGATAATTCTATTCAATCGTTGACCTTACAATAATCAACATCTTTGACTAATTATAGTGAATAGATATTTATCATAGTCACTTTGAAAATGATATAAAGATACTGATAAATCTAACTGATGTTTATTCATGTTTAACTCTGATAGATAAAAATATTCTATTATTTTTCTTTTTTAAATGAAAATTAATTTTAATTCATGAGAAAATAATAACGGTAGAATTATCAACCAACAACTGATCTTTTATTTTCAATTCAAAAGTAAGATTCTACCTTTTTTAAAGATTAATTATAATATTTTTATGGGTATTTTTCTTTTTAGTGATTTATATAGGATCAAGAAAGCTCAATCCCTACATGACTCCGAAGAACAAACTTAGTTCTTTGAACTCTTTCAATCTCCAATTGCTCACATACAAGCAAGTGAGAAAGACATTGAGGCCCTGTATATGATTCTCTTTCTAGCTTCCTTGGATTCAAAATTTACCAGGCTTTGAATTATAAGCTAAAACTAACTTAAGTCAAAGTTGAGATTAAATCCAAATAAGTAGCCCTCTAATCTGGGACTGATGGGACTATCTAAATAAAACTACTTGTCTTACCTGAATAGTTTTTCCAAGAATTATGTACACTTTTATGTCTCTCAATATTTTCTTTTCAATAAATATTCTACCTTTTTTCTACAATGTAAGCCTTTAACCATCCAACTGATTTCTAATTTTTGGAATAAAAATATATTTTTTTTAATTCTTAAATAAATACTTGGTTTTAAGATCAAAATTTATCTACTAATAGTTGCAAAAAAAAAATTGTTAATATCAACTAATGATTGAGATGATAAAAAAGCAAGTATTGCATGTTTTTTCCCCATAAAAAAATTTTTCGCCTGAGGAGAGAAAACTGTTGAGTTATAATTGATCCCTTCTTGAGTATATAATTCATTTTTATCACGCATATCCGTGGTTGATTGATTGAATTGCAGTATATTTTTTGTCTGTATGTCTAACCCATTTGTTTTGCACGTTATGTTACCTGAGCAACAATTTAAATCCGGTTGTATTTTGAAGTCTTGACCATGACCTACGTGATTTTTGTCACGTTTTGCCTGAGATGACAATTTTAAGGGGGTTGATTGAGGCCCAGAAGAGACAATAAGACCAGGGTCACTAAAGGTAGTAATAAAATAATAATGAGTTAACTCTCTATTATTATTAGACATTTAAATAACATAATAATATACTGTAGTAAAACATAATCAGGTCCATATGCTACTCGGGAAGGTGATGCTTTATCCTATTTCCTGTATGACCTGGTTCAGAAGACTACACCAAGTGATGTTGAAGCTTGAAACTAATGAACTGCAAAAAAGAAAGTTGGAAAAAAATATATTGGAAATCCGCTTATAGGCTTTATAATATTGACCGTTTAGACTACCATTCTTTCAGCTGTCTCCCATTTTGATTGATTCATTTTAGTCAAAGTCACCAACTATCAGCAAAATGAGAAAGTAAAAACATAGTACTATTAGTATAACAGTCTATTTACGACTTGACGACTCTCTTTATCATTGATTACTCACAACTGATTCCTAAATAAAATCTTGTTCATTTCAGTTGAATATAAAATAATATTTTATTTAAGAAAAGTATTTCTAATTATATCAAAACAACCGTAAAATAATCATAACCAACAAAAATTTTGATTTCACGTGTTTCCATCGAATTATATATGTTTCGATAAACAATGTTTATTCGATAAACGTTCACATAGTGTGGAAAATTATGCACACATATCCATTAAAATGATACTGTTGACAGTGCAGTTATTGAAGAGTAACATTTAGAGATTGGTAGCCTGAAGGGCTTGAATATTTTCACATGAGGACATAAAACAAACTTGATATCATTAGATATGATAAAGTAAAATAACACATGTAATTACAAATTCAACTTTAATCATTTTCAAAATGTGCTAACAAAAATTTGTTTTAATTTCATTATAACATATAAATATTTTCACAAGCTGACCTGTATGTTCTCCAGTGTATAGAACTCTTTAAAAATTCTAGTTTCATTTTTCCAACATTTCTACCATGATAACAAAAAGCATAATCCACGTATCCAATTTATTAAAAAATTGTAAATTTGTTTGCTATTGAATTTTTATGTAAATAATCCTGATCAATTGATTTTGGAAAAATATCGCGAATAAATGTTGATAGAGTTTCTATTACTCACAATAGAGATGAAGAGTTTGCGAAAAATTATTTTCTGAATTAAAAAAAAAAGGAATTCAATTGAATATTTTTTATCTCTCAATCATTTTCGATTTTTCTTTGTTAAGTAAATAGGATTGATGAAAAATATTGAAATCTTTATAAAAGTTACACGTTATCAGTTAAGAGAATTCATTTGATGAATAGGTGAAGCCATATACGTACATCTGTTCATTTATTAACTTTAACATCTCTAGATATAGTTACATCTGCAAAAGTGCGCAGAGATTGGATCGTATAATTTTTTTTTTTTCTATTTTTTTAGAATGTCTACCTATATTTTTATTTACCTTCGAACAAATATACTCCACCGGTTATATATCTGTATTCATTTTATTTCATTTATTGTTCCTAAACCTTGTTACAATGTTCCGCAATACGAATGTGTTATCGTGTAAATTTTTTCAAAAGAAAATTCAAGCTGTATTGTACTTTGTTAACTCAATAATATTGTATTTCTCTTTCAATGTCTCATATTTGTTGTCATTTCACGGCTACCGAATATTTTTACATTTTTCTCAATTCATTTTATGTGGATGTGGAAAAACAACTATGTACCTAAAAACGTCATCTGGAAATTCCAACATATCAATATTTCAAGATAGTAAATAATTTTTATTACGAGTATATTCTTTTATGTTTATGTTTATACATTCATTTAGTTTTTTATCGATGTATTTTATTAAAAATGAATTAAAACTGTTAATCTAGAAATAAAAAAAAAAGTTTTGAATAAAATTCTATCTCTGCGCTGAAAAATAATTAAATGTGAACAAGTAATATGTTTTTCAACAAATAAAATTAAAATTCCAAATAATCACAATCATAATCATAATCTTGAACACAGATAAAATTTTATAGTAATTTTTTTCTAGTTAATTTACAGTAAAATTTACTAGAAAATTTTATGCGTGAACCAAATATCAAAATTCATTTCTCAAGTAAAATTTCGTTAAATTTAATAAAATATTTTATTACGAATATTTTAAATTCTTTTTATAGATTAAATGAACATTTTTATGTTTAATGAAAATTTTTATTTTAGTGTAGAGTAACACAAAATGGTATGAATTTTTTTGTTACGATCAATTACGAAAGAAGCTTGTATTTGTTTAGCAGAAATATAATAGTCAAAATTATCGTCAATCCGAACAAGATTCAATCAAACTTTGTGCCAACTGAACTATGTAAATAGCCATTTTTTGCTGAAATTCACTTTGAAAGATAAATTCTCTTAAATCTCGTTGATTTTTAATTTTTTTTTTTTACAATAACATAGTCGTTGCTGAACTTGCTGGAAAGTTTGAATGCATAAAAGGAATCTTTTGACAAAATTTATCAAAGTAAGATAATCCCACTGAGACACTAAACACATAATAATACATAGAATGACATGTTAGTTACAAGTTTATGTAAATATTCTAGGACTTTTTTGTTGAAAGTAAAACAATTCAACTGTCAATAAAACTTCCATTTGAAGAATAAAAAATTTATTTACTCTAGAATGACATTAATTTGTGTCTACTTTACAAAATTTTTGACATTACAGAGATAAACTGAAAGTCAAATGGACAGTTTTTTTCATATTTAATTGGTACAACTGCATAAATTAAATATAAATGTCATACTCTGCAAAAATACGTGAAAACATTTCTCTGTGGTTTTTTGTGTGGTGAATAATTAAAATAACAGAATAATGAAATGAAGCAAACAGTTTTTTGTCTTATGAATTACGAAGTACGAACAGTATTTGAGTAATCAATTTAACGTATTAGTTTTCACTTTTTGCAGGTATTAGAAATCAGGAATGCTTTCAATGATATGAAACGTAACGTTCTGAGGAGAGTAATATCTTGATTAGTATGGCAGATAGATTACAGCCAAATCAAGTGCTAACGAAAATACCAAACTTTTGGCAAAGGTCAAAGGAATTTCGATACTGATTGATATCACTAGAATCAATGTTCACTTAAATAAAAGTTAAAAGTTTGAAAAAAAAAAAATATCCAACAAAAAATTAATTGAAAACATTGAACTTCAAGTAATACTTAGTTTGTATAAAATACATTCATACCCATTTCTTTTATATTGATTGATTAAAATACATTTCAATCTCTGTAAATTTATTCAGACTTTGCCAGTAACAATTTATTACAACAATCCATTAATTTTGATGCATTTAATGCGACCATTTTTATCAAGTTTCAGTGACATATATTTTATTCAAAATTATGTGTAATTAATTTTCATGATATATGTGATCTCAAGAAACTTTATAAATTGTAAATGTATATTAATGTTAATAAATTAACAAACTATGTTTAATTTACTCAACAATTGTTTTATGAAAAAACAAAAAATTGAACACAACCATTTTCTAAGCTTATATTAACTAAGAAATATTTTTTGTAATAAATATAAAAGTGTTGGTTATTATTTCTTGTTGTTGTTGTTGTTGTTAGGAAAATTTTTTTTTATGAAGTACATATCTGTATAACACATAAGAAGAAATTATTTTTAAAGAAAAAAGGCTTTATGCATACAATAAACGATAAAAACAGCAAAATTTCGTGCCAAAGAACTTTCAATAAGAATTTGTGCTTAAATAAACGGCGGTAAACTACTTAGACTTACAAAAACTTGGCAATTTTTCGCAGTTTGCCATAGTTGGTATAAGTTTCTATGCTGTTCTACATGGATACATATAAGTAACTTGAAAAGAGTGTAGCAAATAGTTTCATAAGAAGAGAAAAAAAAAAAGTAAAGCAGTCAACGTTGAACTGCACAACATCTTATGACACTGTATTACTTTTTTTTTCGATAACTACCAATAAGTGTATGCATTTGAACTAACTTTGAGTTTTATGTGTTACATCTGAACATTTTAAATCTTTATATGATCTTATAAAAAATAAAAAACAGTCACATTATCAAACAAACATTGAATTATATCCTCAATAAAATATTTATTGTAAAAGAAATTTATTTCTTTATTGGAAAAGTTGATTGCATGGAGGAATAGTATCTAGTGGATGCAATTATGAATACCATAATGACTTCATAAATAAAATATATGAAACATTAATTTGTGCTTTAATATAAATATTGATAATTATTATTAACCAACATGTAATAACAAAATGAATAAACCTCTAATATAAATCTATCAAAATAAATGATACTTAATGAATACTGGTGATTAATTATCAGAGCAATGTTTTTTTAATCAGTCCTTAATGACGATATGCACGAAGATAATTCATTAATTTTCAAATAACTTATAACAAGTTTGAAAATGAAAGATAAGTTTCCATCAAAAGTTATATTACAGTAGAAAAAAAAACTCTATGAGCTTTAATTAATAACAAAAAAACCTTGAAAAGTTTCAATGACAGATCTTATGATAAAGTTCTCTGGAAAATTGCAACAATGATATATTTTAGCGCAAAAAATTATGTTACAATCATTTTGAAATTGAGTACTCATGCAAACATCATTTTAAGCTTTTCTCTGTGACATCAAATTGATTACTTCTCTACCAGAAATCCATGCTCCGAATTTCAATATTTTAATTAAGTTTGTTCGATTAAATGAACTGACTAAAAGGTATTGATTTCTATCAAACGCTTTTAAAGAACTCAATGACAGTGTTTTTAAAATGTTGAAAGTTAGAACATAGGTATTAATTTGACAATGACAGCAATGTAATTTTTTTAAGTACTTCTTTTGTATCATATTCATGACATTTATAATATCGAAGAAATTAAAGGTTTTAATCAAATAAATCATTAATTGAATCTTATTGAAGAGAAATTCAATATATTAATTAATTATTCGATGAGCGAAGTGAATTAAATTCCAATTAAGAATAAATTATGAACAGCAGATTTATTCGTTTACTATATGCAGTTAAATTTGAATATAAATTTGACGTGTTATGATTGTTGTGATGAGTCATGTGCAAACGATTGGTTATTTTAATTTTCTGAATGTTTATTTAATTTTTAATTATATGACAATTTACATAAATTAATTTAATATGATTATCATTGTTTGAGGGGCTGTATATTTTGTTTTTAGAATAATTCAAGTTGTTTCGAATGGAAATAGATTGGAAATACTTGCATTTTGTTAAAAAAACAATTGGAGTCTAAATTTTAGATATAGCAATAAATAGTTGACATCACACCAAAAGGTATATCATCTATCAAGATGATTTATAACTTTTCTGAATATTTGCACGGTAATATATTTCTCTTTTGGAAAGATCATTCTTTCCAACGATTCATAATAATAACAACAGATCATAAATATCTTTTTTGTTATAAAAAATTATCGTACTTACCAACTGAAGACTATAGAGTTCATAAAAAATGAATACTTTCTATTAAAATGCTTCAATTCACTGAAAAAAAAATTAAATTCACTTTTAAACCATTTTTTTTGTACTGCACACTTTCTCTAATAAAACTGCCATCATTATTTTTTTCAACGATAAGTTAGTGCCAACTTATATCAGTCCACGATTTAAATTCAAAACTCCAATACCACCATAAGAATGTGATTACTAGCGGCATCTGAAAGTGTACATAATTATTAGAGTGAGAAAGGAAAGTGTCTCTCTTACATCAATTGAAATCGCACAATCACTGTCCATAATGAATGTTTTTTGGTGATGTTGACTTTTTCTCAGTAGTTTGCCTCATATTCGCTTGGTAGCATCAAAAAAGATGGATTAGTATAGAAATCCAATCCTGGATTAAAATCCGGACGAAGGTTTGACTAACAGATATCAAGAAATACGGTAGTATCATACGCCGAGCATAAATTGCCGCCATTGCCGCCATTTTGTCTTACGTCACGATATGGCACCACTGTTCGTCCAGATAGCAGCGCACCTAGTGGTGAAGCCTGGTACCCGTTAGCAAGCCAGCTTACCGATAATTAATCTCCAGCCTTTGTCTGTAACGATTCAGCTGTAGACAAAAAGACTTTATATTTATTCGAATTCTAATTATTGAATTATTTTAATTGTTTGAATAAATAAATAGTTATTTATAGTCATTCTTCGAAGAATTATTGTAACTGCTACATGGAAAGTGATACTAGCGACATCTAAGTGTCGAATGACGTAACATTTGTATACTCGATACGCCAAGTGTACACAAAACACACACACGCATAATCAGTGTCGACAATGGCCATTGAAACCTAAAGGACTCGTACAAAAAATATTTTTCGATATTTTTAGTGTTTTAGTGTGATTTTAAGTGGAAATAAGTAGAAACCTTTGTGTTTCACATGACAAAATTGACAGTAATGTAACTAATTGATAGGCAAAGATCTTTTAGAAGTGCGGCACTCCAAAAGAACATTGGCTTAAGTGCACGACACAATTATCTTGTGTTGATCTTAACAAAAAAAACGATAAAACAATGTGCATAAAGACGTTTTTTGTTTGATAATGTTTTGGTAAGTTAAATTGAAGATATATATATTTATTTTTCTATTACAGATGTAAAGCCAATAATGAATAAAAGCATAAATATAAGTGATGTGATTGAGCTATAAAAATACGTAGGTTAGGTTGGTTCTGAAGAACTGGCATCGTGAAGCTTGCTTTGCTTTCTTTTTCAGACAGATACACAGCTATTCGCTTGCAGGTTTATATGCAGTCGCCATTTCATTGTGATACGACGCACGAAATTATTTCGTTAAAATATTTCATTACATTTTTATTAAAAATTTATTCTTCTCATGCTAGACGAGCTCTATAAATATATGTACTCCAATAGATAAACCAATGAAAGCGTTGATTGAAAATTGGAATCTTCATTTACTCCAAAACACTCCATAAACAATAATAACTCAACAATTTGTTAAAAATAAATATTTTCTCTGTATATTATTATTTTTCAACTAATTTGTTGATTATTATATTGATTGCAGTTTAACAAAAATCCTAATACACCTGAACCGGCTTTAGTATTCATCTCCAGGCATGATAAAATAAAGGATAAGAAGAAAGGAGATGAGCCATAATATTGCAGGCATGCCACCCTTTGCAAGGATGCCACTCGGTGGTATGGGGATGGGAGTAGGCATGGGACCAAATGGTCCGCATCCTGATTCTAATGCTCATCCTCATCCTCCACCACCACCTCCAGCTGGTGCAAATCCAAAAAAGAAAAGGAGAACTAATGCTAATGTAGCTCCCCCAGCACCTCAGCCACCTCCAACAGTGCAGGTAATTCTATTTTTCATTTCAAAATATAGCATAAATCAATTGACAATAAATAATAATTCAAATTTATTTCAGGATTTATTGCCACCCCCTTTATCAGGCTATGGTGATACGATAGTAGCGAGTAATCCTTTTGATGATACGCCACCTCAAAGTACACAAAATACAATGATGCATGGTGGACCTCCACACATGCATGGAGGTCATCCACATCATCCGCATCATATGGGAGGTCCACCAATGAGAGGTATGAGTCCATTAACATCAATGGGTGGTATGAGTCCTATGATGCCTCATAATATGGGAAACATGAGTCCAATGGGAAATTCACCGATGGGAAATCACATAAATCATATGGGAGGAATGTCTCCAATGAATCACGCGCCAATTGGAGGAATGAGTCCAATGAATAATATGGGATCTAATATGCCACCTGGACCAATGAACACTATGAACAATCATATGAATATGAGTCACATGGGTAACACTCAAATGAGTGGTCCACCAATGGGTAGTCCTATGAATAGTATGAACAGTGGACCAATGGGAAGTCCAATGAATAATATGGGACATAGTATGGGCAGTCCTATGGGTGGACCATTAGGATCTCCGATGAATAGTATCGGTGGTAATAATCATAATCATATGCCTAATGGACCAATGAATATTAACAATATGAATAGTCATATGCCGCCTAATAGTCCACTGAGTGGTCCACCTATGAATAATGTTAATAGCCCACTAAATCATAATGGTTCTCAACCTCACCCAAATCATATGGCCAACAACCTCAGTAATTTAGGAAGACCTATGAATGGTCCCATGACCACAATGAGTTCTATGGTACCTAATAATATGAATATGTCTGGTCCTAACACTATGAATAATATGAACATGGCTGGACCACAAATGAATAATATGTCAAATATGAATATGCCTCATCCAAATCAGATGGGGCATATGGGAGGTCCCGTGGGTTCAATGTCAAATAATATGTCAGGAGGACCACCGATGGGACATCCTATGAATATGGGTGGCAATATTCCCTCACATGGATTCCAAGGACCTCCGGGATTGTGTGCTAAACCTATGCCTGTTTCGACGGGAAAGGTAATTAATAAATTTATTCGTTAACTTATAAGTAATATACATTTATCATTACTTAATTTTATTACAATAATTTAGTTATATTTTAGTATTTTTTTATACAGTTTATTACTAAACGATAATATACTAATATCTTTAAATAAATGGAATAAAAAAACATGTAATAATTATAAAAATTAAGAAAATAAATATTCCAAGTGATTTTAATGAATAATTGCATTGATTGCTTCAGATTTATCCTCCTGATCAACCTATGGTTTTCAACTCTCAAAATCCAAACGCACCACCAATATATCCATGTGGAATTTGTCACAAAGAAGTTCACGACAATGACCAGGGCATTTTATGTGAATCAGGTTGTAATTTCTGGTTTCACAGGTAAATAAAATAATGTGTGAACTTGATATATAATACAAAAAAAAAAAACTGAAACAATAATGAAAAAAAAATATTTTAGAGGATGTTCGGGATTATCAGAAGCAGCCTTCCAATTATTAACGCAAGAAGTTTACGCGGAATGGGTGTGTGATAAGTGTTTACAATCGAAAAGCATACCTCTGGTCAAATTTAAGCCATAACATCTTTCGGTCCGTTATTTTAGTGATTTGCAATTAATACTTTGTTAAAGTTTATATTTTATAAATAATACACACATGCAGTACGAAAACGTGAAATATCGCACTCATGCGAATGGAAAATGGACTCACTGTTTGTTAATGACTTTTTAGCTTTAACTTGTTGAAAACTTAGGATATCACTGTAAGAAACAGAATGTTACAAAGTGAGAGAGAGAGAGAGATAAGATGGCTCAAAAATTATTGATGCGTTTTATCTATTCAAACATTATTTCTTTTAAGAAAAAAAGTCTATCAATATATATGAATAGATTTTTTATTTTAGTAGATCTGACAGATTATAAATATGATTTTGTTTTGTATAAAAAAAATATGAGCCATTTTTTGTTTTAACAAAAATGTAAAAAGGAAAAATCGACAAATTTTCAAAGTATGTAATTAACTTAAAAAAAACTATGTCTGATTGTTATTCGCCGCATTGAATAGAAGTATATATATATATACAAATATATATATATATATATATATAAATATAAATATATATTTAATTAGGATATAAAATGTATAAAATTATAAAAATCAGGAAAATTTCTGCAGATTTGAAGAATAATGAGATGACTTGACAAAAATCGTTTGGATGATAAACAATGATATTCTGTGATTTTTTATTCTACTCGACAAATTTTTGTTTATTAATTAGTATAGAGAAATTACTGGCCTCATATAGAGAGATTAACTGTGTGTTTGTGAGCCATCCATTTTAATTCGAGAGCATAATAGCTTGATGCATTATTTTAAATTAACTTTGTTTTACTTGTAATTTATGGCAGTTTTTTGTTCTTGCCAGTCAAATAATTTTGACTTGAAAAACGATCAATTGTATCAATAATGTATGCTCTAATGAAATTTATATATTTTCAAAATCTATAATTGGCTGCTAATTATGCGTAGGATTAATAGTATCTATGAAATATTGTACAGATTTTTTTATATGTTAGAAGTTTTATTCACTCATCGTTTTATCGTTTAAGAATTATTTTATCATTATATCATTAATAGATTATAAAGCAGGATTCTATAAACATAACATAATGCTCATATTAGTATTACAACGAATAGACTATCATCATCACTGAGTATTTTTTTCATTTTTTTGTTTCTTCATTTGAATATAATTAGGCATACTATTGAAATCAATATCTCTTACATCATAAACAATTGAAAATTTAAGAGATTGAATGGGCATAATAAGAAAAGTAGAACTGGAGAATTCTATATTACGCAAATAAAAAAAAACATTTTGTATGATTTGTACAAAAGAAAAAAGATTTATTTAATAATCTGATGTGAAAATTAAGCTGTAAAGTTCAAATTATTTAACCATAAAAGAAAGAATGTACTTTGCACAATATGACAAAAAATTTTACATCATACTCCAGTAGACATAGATAATCGTGTCCTTATATTATGTAAGCTGTATATAAATATAGCCATCACTGTTTTTTACAATTTCAGTCGTTGAAATAAACTATCAAGTCTTCAGACTGTTCAGCCAACATAAATATATTTAAAAAAATGGAAAATTATTCTCAGGTGTTCCACAGTGTGTTTGTCAAAAAAAAAATGAAATGATTCTTACACATAGGATTACACACTTATTATTATAATTATGATTAATTCTAAATGTACAAGTGATTTTTGAAGAATCCTTCCATTATTTTATTATTATCAAGTGTCACGCCATTTTTTTGTGTATAAATCAATAAATTAATCTTCATTCCGTTTGAATTCAATAAACGGAACATAAAATTCCGCAATAATCATCTCAAATACCTACTCATTTGAAACATTGAAACCGATCACTAGGATTCTCAGATTCAGCCCTCAACTAAGAGCTTTTGATTTTATATAATCATGACGACTAGCAATAATACTTGTATATATTTAAGATTTTGCTACAAAATAATGAAATACAATCTTGCTCATAATTTTTGCTTTGATTATGCTACGAAATGTATCCATAGCTCTAGAAAAAATCCTTTAAATATTTCATGTTTTAAAAGCCTTACACTAATTTTTAGCAAACCATTAGCTTTGTATCGACGAGATCTCTCGACAGCCATGGTCAAGAGTGTATGTGATTCTGAAAATTTAGACTCAGGTCACTTTCTCTTAAACATGAATACAAAAATTGTCTGCACAACTTAGCAAACACCTTTTCGATCATAACTTTCATTTTGAAGAACATTTTTTAATGACAGTGTGATAGAGATTTCATCTATAAGCCAACATATTATTATGAAACGTGAGGAAAGTATTTTTTTCGATTTGATGACCGAGAGTTTCTTTCCGGCTTCGTGATGCTACTGTTAAGGCTTTCCAATGTCAACGTGACGTTCGAAAACATCACGTGTTGTTATTTTTTTTTATTTCGTTCGACGTATTTGATGATTACAATCGACATTATAGACTGCTCTTTTCCTCATAATTTTTCAAATCTGAACATTTAATTTTATTTTCTGAACTCACTTTATTTCGCTGAATTTTTAATTTCGTCACTCATTTTTTTTTTTTAATTTAACATAAATCCATATTAAAATAAATTAAAAAAAAATTTTTTTATTTAAGAAATTTCTAATTTAGTTGGTTATTCAAATCACCCTTCATACAAGTGAGGTTGTATTGTAGTAATTAGTTGGGTAATTACTTCAAAACATCAGATGCTGCTAAGATTTTTTTTATATTCATATTCAAAGATAATTTATGCGAAAAAAATTGTCACTATAACAGTTCGATTGATATTTCACCGATAAACAAACACATTTGTCATCTAGAATAAGATTATAAATAATATTGAGATATTTATAAGAAAAATGAACATGAAGTCACTCTGCCGTTTTATAAAATATAAAAACTTCTCCATGTCACGTTGATATTTATAAATATTTCTATATGAGATTATCATAAAAACTATAAAGTAGAATAATAAGACCTTGGGGTTTCATAAAAAATAATTCGACCCTGTGAACGGCGCACAAGAATGACCGATGATTGGTGAGAAAGCCATAAATAGAATACTTCAAGCGACAGGTGAGTTTGCCCTCTGCGCACTCCCTCCATGAACTAGCCAAGTGCTTTTTCCGCGCATGTAAGGGTGGATGAAAAGTTTCTATCTCGTGTTTCTAGTTTCTAAAACGCTTATCATTATTCTTCACATTAACTGGTCCTGTGTTCTTGTGTTTACTCTTCGTAAGACGTGATCCATTCGTGTTCTACTTTGTGCTCAAATAAAATCTTTCTATTTGTTTTGATAAAAATTTAATTAAAACATTCATAAGATATATACTGAATTAAGAAGGAAAAAGAAGATGCCAGCGAACAAAGGACCAATTTCCACGTCGATGACGAAGGAAAAACCGGGAAATGGGGGTAGCCTAGGTGCCACTACTTCCAAAAAGAAAAAACAACGTGCCTCCGTTAAAAATAAAAAAAATTGCAGACAGTATTTGGTGAGTGAAATCTCAAAATGTAAGATAAGACAGAGGATGCGTTGATGTTAACAGCCATAATAATTTGAATAAAACATTATATGGGATACACGTGGATAATGAACCTAATATGGAAAAAAAAAACATTTTTGCACAGACGAGAAATTGGAATGAAAGTGAAAAATATTACTGATAAAAATTATCGATTTGTGTATAAATTGTGCGTAAGCAACTACACCACGCGAAAATCAGACGCGATAGACAAAAGGGTTTGTTAACCTCCTCTGTGTGCATGTCTGATAACATACACACGTAGGAGACGATCGATCGAATACAAAAAGCTATGCTAGGATATGGTTAATTACCTTTGTCCTAGACTTTTTAACAAATTTCTCTCATAGGTCAAAACTCTTGATTCTAATTAGAACATTAATTAGATTGGCAAAAGTAAATCAAAAAAGAAAAAAATTGGAAAAATAATGACATCTTTTGTTTGCAATGTAACTTTTACAATTGGAAAATTATACAAAATTGTACGATGTAATAATAGATTATTTTTCATAATCAACATAGAAAAGGTGTTTGTGTTGAGAAATATATCTATATAATTTATTAATTTAGAAATTCCTGCACTTTTACACCAAACCCATGATCCTTAATAATAAATCATTATAGATTTTGCACTTAGATGTTGATGTATAATAATAGTAATTTTAGCGCACATACTGTCAAAAATTAATTTATTTTTCTTTCTTTCTTTCTTTCTGCTGCTCCTGTCAATTATTCAAATTTATTTCTATTACTGTACTACACAATATATGTCAGTTAAAGTAACATTTTATTTAATTTGTCTTCCTGTCACATCATATCACCCAAGTATTGATTTTGGTTTGAAGGTGTGGCGAAAAAGGCTGCTTATTTGGCAAAAATAAGAACTATTCCTACTCATGGTATGCTTGAGTCACTCTTATCACTCTTTAACCTGAGTGTCTGTTAACGAATGAGAGGGAATAGAAGGAGGTTAGGTATTGACAAATTCAATCAACCTACTTTCCTTGAAAAAATGCCATCACTGTTTTTTTATTTTTCGCTTCTTTACTTTCCTTTATCCTTTTTTGTATTTGAGGGCTTTCGTGTGATTACACGAAAACAACTCCGTTGGTAAAAAACAATTACCGACCGCAAACATAATTATTTCCTGGTTTTCCGATTGTAGATAATCAAAAAAAAATTAACATACCTATTTTACCAACTGTCGTTAATGATGAATAATTTATAAAAAAAAAATCCGCAATTTTTGAAACTCCTGTTATCATCGATCAACTGGCTGATCTCCAACTTGTGATTTTCATTAAGTTCTCATTAATGCAAGCCACGTTGAAAACGTAGAACACATCGTAAAACATCGAACAGGGCAACGACATTGCCAAGTTTTTTTTTTGTAGTTCAATTCTATCCCTTGAACTGAGATATCTCTACCTGCAACCATTAGTCTTGAATATCACTGCAGTATTCCGAAAATGTTCTCAATAGAATACTTAATTAAGATTAAAATCTTTGATAAATGTAAAAATGAAAAGTTTCTAAAGAAATGTAGCAGATGAAAAGATTCTAATATTAAACTGTACATTTTATCATTTAAATACTTTTTTATTTAAAATTTTCAACAATTTTTCAATAAATTATATCCATTAGTTACATAACAATTAAATTGTAACATAAATAGATAAATACTGTGAATAATTGTACAAACACTGTTATTAATCTAACGCCAGGTTAAATTCAATTGAATTCTGCAAGAGACAGAAGTAGAGACACAAGCGGAAATACATTGCTTATATATCTAGGAGGAAGCGTGATGCACAATCAAACAGTATGTTCGTGCGTCTCATCACAATCATCTGTTTAATCTATTATATTGGTGTATCAATAATTAAATTCATCGTGAATAGTACTATTCAACTATCTCAATTGTTTGACAAATCTTCGTGTTCTACCTGAATTCGCTGCTTTGTATAATATTGGTTAATTTTGTTATCTCGCTTCATCCACGCTTACGTCACAATTATCCTCATCCCTTTCTCTCATTATCTGTACTTAAAAGAACACTTTTACGTTGTATATTTTATAAAAGAAAAATCTTTTCAAAATGGTTGAATTAAAATTATTCATGTTATATAACATGATGAGGTATATTCTGATTGATACAAATGTGTACATCAATCATAATTCACCTTAAATTCAATATTATTTTTAGAATCATTTAGATATGATTATCTTCCTGACACACTTTTTAGAAAAGAATGCAAATTTAACGAGCACTTTTCATTACATTATATACCGACATTCAATTATCTATCTTTGTCTCATGTTACATGGTTATCATTCCATCGCTTATCGAGATGTTCGCTCCCCCCTAATTCATAGTTAACACACGCGGTTCACCGAGTATAGTTGATGATTATTTTAATTGGGTAGTTCGCAGGCGCATGTATAGATTTTTGTAGTATTTCATGGGAACCTTATAAAATTAATTAATTTATCATTACATCCATGCATGAAAGAGCTTTTATATTTATACTCTGAAAAATATTTATAGTTGTAGAAAGTGTCTAAAGTTTTGTCACAGAAGCATCACTGTTGGAACAATACTGGATAGTTATAATAGCCATCTACATCATTGAAAAGTAACTCATGACGTCATACGCTCATAAATTCATCTCTGATTATGAAATTAGAATATCAACGTCATCGAATTAAAATAAATAAAACAATATTTAAAGTTGCTGTGAAAAGTATCTTTCCAAAACAATTATTTTAGATATTATTAATCAATTATCTAGATAATCTCTACATCTATGTAATGAGATACTTCATATAAGGGGTACAGTATTGTTCCTACAATTATAAATGTTTTTCAGAGTTTTGTTTTTGGTTATTTTCGTATACAGAATTAATTTCTCGTCACGGTATTACTTGAATGGCTGTCATGTAAAGTCGAACTTGTAAAAGTGCAGATCAGCGTGAAATTTATCGATGAGTTATGTCAACTGGAATAAAATTTGCTATGTCTAATTCAAATATCATGACATCTGTTCACCCATTTTTCAAGAACAACAGCATTTAAAAATAGCGAAGAGACAAACAAAAAAGGAATTTTTAGTCAAATTCAAACCCCAAAAAAATGGAAAGTCTTTTCAATTTATCTTTACATTCCTGTGATGGAAATCTGGCGCGACACCCTTCGAGCAATTTTCCATATTACCCCTTCTCCTTGTTACATTCCCTGAGGCGTTACGACACCAGCCGTCCATTTTTTCCACATGGAGGACTCTCAGAATATTTTATCATCTCTGTAACGAGTAACCGTCGATGAGAGGTCTGTTGGTACTCTTTTAAAGCCTTCTACATCTTTATGAATTCAGTTTCTTGCTAAAAAACAAAAAAAGAAACTCTAGATTTGAATTATTCGTAAATATATAAATTATTCATCATCCATGTCTACACTAGAATTAATTTTATATTTACTCATTAGTCTTAAAGTTAATCTTTTTTTCTCCACGTCTAATAGAATTACTTTGTCAGGATGGAATATTGACGTTGATTTTATAAAAGAATTAATATGTCATTCACTTTAAACCTTTTTACGATGAGCTATTATTATCAAACAGTCTTGTCAGTATTAGATGTAATCGAGTTCATAGAATACGTATTTATGCTATAAGCTTTCAAAAAATTTTAATATCATAAAATGAACATTTTGGTTCCTTTTTATCTGGTGTTCTGTAAAAGATAAAAATAACGGAATTTTTTAAAATGCTTATTAAGAGATAATATTTACTTTTAGAATTATTATAATGAAATTTGTTTTTTCCCAATCAACGAATTCCAAATGAAAGAATAAACCGTCAAATCTATCGAGGAAGATTCAAAAGAAATATTTTTAATGATCTTTTTTTCAATTATTTCATGGAATGTTATATCTTTCATTCTTTTGCGATACATAAAAAAGAAAAAAATTCCAAATGAAAACAATTTATTCTTTACATTTAAAAATAACACTCTTTTTTACAATTCTTCAACATTGAAGCCTCTAGATGTTATGTCAGCATGAAGTCATCTCATTAATCCAAATCTATGGGTCATAAAGAATTTGGAGATGAAGCTTGTAGGCCTCATAATTGTTTAACGCTCAATTTATCCCGAAGCCAATCCCACCCGGTTGCACCGTGATAAATAGCAATTTGGCGCAACCTATGGAAAGGTTATCATCTGCACAGTCGCGACGTCACGGCGCCGTTAGCCGAAAAAGTCGAAAGTTGGGTAATTTTCTTTCCTTTTTTCACCCCTTGGCCCTAGTGCCCATTTTGTTTCTAGCCTCTATCTATCCACCCTTGACTGTGTGTTCTTTTATCTCTCTTTCATCCCTTCTGTTCGCTTTTCACTCGACGTCACATTCAAATATGTACCCAACGGCTTACAAGGAAATGAAGAAAAACAGAAAAGCTTCGCAATGAATACACACTGACATGCCATTTCCCCGTGAAATTCACACGTCTAGGGAAAGAAGCAATAAAAATAAATCAATAGGATAAAAAAAATTAATTAAAAGAATAAACTTTATCACATTATTTGCTCTCTTTCTCGTCAAAGTTTGATATTTAAATGATTGGGTGTATTGGTGATGGACCAGTCTGTAGATTCGAAAGCTAAGGAAATTTACTATTAAACATCTACTGGTAAGGCCCGGGGGCTCGAAAAGGAAAGACGGAAGTAAAAGAAGTGTAACCTCACAAACAGGGGGTGGAAGTGAGACAGGGAAGTGTACAAGAGAAAGGGAACGACGTCGGGGCGAGCATCGGCAAGTACATTGCGGACTATCGACCGATATTAATGCGCAAACGCAAGTCATGTCTGTCCATCCCTCTTACCACCCTGAGCTATCGCCTTGCCGGCGACACGTCGCGACGACCGTCCGTAGCACTACGACGAGAGCACATACGGCACGACGACAGTGGCTCCCACAAAACTGTCTCTATCTGACTCTCGTTTTAATCCAATCTAAGTCATAATTATTTGCTAATTAGAGCGACTAAATTGTAAACGATTAATGAGATAAATTTATAACAAGATAACGAGATAAAAATAAGTCGACAAAAGAGACTAATTGTGATATATTGGTTATAAAAGAAGGTTTGTGTTAAAGCCGGGAAGCCGGATGAGAAAAGCGTCATTGTCGTGAGTGATATCGGTGATCGTACGGATTGTCCTTGACGTGTGGAACAAGAGAAATCAGGTAGGCGACCAGTATGAAGTGCATTCATTGAGACGACATAAGATACCTGAATGCAAACGTGATTGTCTGAAGCTGAGGGGGAGGTACAGCGGAGTCTGAAGAATCAGGAAGTGTCGCCGCCACGAGGAAAAAGACGAGTGAGATAGTGAGGTGGAGAGAAATAAAGTGGAAAGCACAAGTAAAACGGCTGCCAAAGAGTGCGGCCTAAGGCCTGACGTGTCTACGTCTCGGTGTCCGTCGGCCCTTCGGCCGTGTCACTACTGTTCCACTGCCCCACACACCGCGGCCTCATGATTGGTTCATTCTGGAACCTGTGCCGTGCGTGCCCTTCAATGCCTATTGATAAGGTGAGATCTTTTGCAATCATCATCAACACCTTTTAATTCTAACCAACTCTCCAGGATGTATTCAATTTTGTCATTCATCTTACACTTTTCTAAAATGTTTTTAATCCTAACTTGCAGATGACTCTTATTCAAAATATCACTTTGGTGAAGTTAGGCTCAAAATGTTGCGTGTAGTATGGTTTTCCCAAATAGGGGAGGATCAATTTTTACTTCCGGGTGGGTGCGGTTCAGCCATTTCTTTTTCCCTATCACCAATATAATAAAGGCAACCGATCCTAAGGATTACGTCATTCGACACTTATTCTCAGCACGATTGCAATTTTTGTAACAGGATTTGTTGAATCATTGTACCAGAAAGCTGCTCCCCAATCGTGGACCCTCACTAGTTATTCCTAGGAGGATATTAGATAGTGGATTATAACCTCAGATTGGTTGAAGAAGCAGTTTAATCTCCAACTGCTGATTGTCAGCCAGATGTTGAAGGCTTGGAATTGTTGACAATGCAAAGGGGGGTGTTCTAATGACGCTTACTCGAGAGTCTGAACTTTTATGAAGAGTTGACTATGCCGCAGTTAATTTTCGACGAGCACGGAAATACTTGTGACAACTGGCGTGCTAAAGAGTTGGCTCGGTCGATGTGCCGCAGCAACATTAACATCATGCATACACATACTATTTTATTCACTCCATCATTGAGGCTAAAATGTATGGATGTACTAGGTGGTGCATGCAATCATGAAGTTAAAGTAACATTACCGGCATACTTGAGTACGCAAATGTTTTTTGAACGTTGAATAAAAACGAGAAAAAAATTGCCAGCATTGCACCATCACCAAACCGGCAAGCCGATTATCCAGAAACACACTGACATCCAAGTAGTGTAGTGTTGCCTATCGTTTGCTGCTGGTGGTTTACGATCAACTGACTCTAATGTGCGGGCTTGCAAGGCCGTTATCGAGCTACGCTAGATGCCGAGTCATACAGCTTTCAGCCAGATTACGTCATCGTACAAGAAAATATGGGGAAAGGGACATAAATTTTATTGAGCATCGATTACAGAAATACAAGTAGTACTTTATAGCTGTTACATCATAATTTTTTATTTTAGACTTTTATTTACAGCAGTTTGGTCTTTATCAAATTTGAACAAATTTTTATTTATATTAATTGCTCAATATGCGAACATTTTTTTCCCATCATTAAACATCATTCAGCTTGAAACGATGGTCGATATAACTGTAATTGTAGACGGTAGTGTCATTAGAAAAAATTACTTTTTTTTGCTTTGACATAAAAATGTATTTTATTTTCTCGATAACTGAATAATTTTTTTTTTTAGAAAGATAGCTTCTTTTTTGTTTGATAACAATAACAATTGTTAAATTCAGTTCAATGATAACAACATTTTTCCAAGTACATTGCAGGCTATTTAAAAAATAATGCGTTATTTTTAGCTGAGTTGTATTCAATTCAATTTATAAAATGATAAATAGTATCCATTGATGCAATCAATAATTGATAACTGTTTGTTAAATAATAAATTTAAGTGAAAGAAAATTCACATTTCCGCAGTAATAAAAATTTTAAATAAGATTCTGGGGTAATTTAATAGTTATTTGAGTTGAAAATAGAGTTTGCAGACGTGCTAATTATCTAATTAGATGGATTACAAAGATTTGAAATAACATCGTTAATTTCCAAAAAGTTTTTAATTCGTTATCATTTCTTTACAAATATTTCACTAGACTTGAATGATTTTTAATTAAAATATAAACTAAAAAATATCTATACATAAACTGAAGGAAAGAATATTTTTTAATAGTGATAAAACATTAAAAAAATTTAATGCAGAAATATTCAGACATTTATTCATTCCACATGATTTGGAACTTTGAAAAACTTTTCATACGAGATAGAAATACTGAAATTCAAATGAACCTCATATCACCTCAATAAAATCTTAATTTAATAAAATTTTTATTCAATGATAATCTGAAGTTGAGAATATTTAACAAACTTTCCCATCACTAAAGTTCTGTAGCTGGGAAAGAGAAGAGAGTATGGAGAACATAACTTCTGACACCTCTTTAATAGCAACTCAATATTTTCGGAACAATACTAATTATTTTTCCAAGGTTTATTAATCCTCAGGATGAAAATAAAATAGGTAATTTATATTTGTCGGTCTTCTTATTAACGGGAGGTCGTAATTAGAACGTGGCAAGGAGAAATATCGTTTCGCTCGGCCGCGTGGTTCAATGGCTCCCTAGTTTTTCTATCCGATGATTATGAAGAAGTAGGGACAGTCAGTAAAGAGACAGCCAGCTGCCATCAGTATGCAGTGGAACGTCAGTGAGTTTAGATATAACGAGTGTAAATGAGAATAATAAAACGACACGGAATATATCAATAGTTGTATCTCTTTTATCATGACATGAAGTGAAATTATCGATCATACCACATACAGAGTGCTTGTGATAGCGTATTATCAAGAGATTCCTCATCGTCGTTACAACAAGTAATCAAGCGTGAAACGGAAATTTGAAGAAGCGAAGCGAAAAGGATCCAATAGTGAATCCCAGAGCTCAGGTGCAGCCACACTGCAGATCATTGCGGCTGCTATGCGGCGTCTTGACTGCCAACAGGTCTTCACATTTGTCTTCTTATCTTGCTTTTCAAGTTTTCCACTTATTCTGCTATATCTCTAACCACATTCAATCGTCTCCACGTCCGATTACTCTATATTGTGCTTACTGCTCCGAAATTTACATATTCCTCTTTATGCTCTGCTTGACATTACTTGCAATATTCTAAATGGAATACCTTGAGAGATAAGACTTGCCTTCAAATACAAACTAAAAATATTTCGAGCAGGATAATACTTTCATGAGCAATTAATTTCAAATATTCTGTCAACTTTGAGCATACAGTTTTTATTTTCCAAGCTATAAATTTTATTGCCAAAAAAAGGCTTTTTTGTTGAGGAGAAATGTTAATTCAGAGTAATGTGATATGTCGTGGACACTTGGTGAGCGATATTTTTACTCTAAACGAGCTTGAATCATGAAATAGAGATACTTTTTATAAAGTTTTCAAGAAGTTGGTCTAAATTATTTGTAATTTGGTCTTGATTTTAACATTCTTCAACAATAACTATTTCACATTTTGAAACCAACATTATTTTTGCTATGCACCTACTAGTATCATCAAGAACATCAACATTTTTGCCACAAATATATTTATTGAATTAGTTCTTTACCATCAAGGTAATAAATACAATTCTTGATAGACCATTTTTTCTGCTTAATTCTTATATTTCATTTTTTTTCAAGCATGTTGATGGTCAAAGAGGTACATATCAGATTATAACTTGCATATATAGTAGTTCATTCTGTGAAACAGATTTACCTATAAGGTCTATTATGATGACAGAGAGTGATGGAGTTTCAGTGTGGCTAACAATGACTCTGATAACATTCCATTAATTTCTATCAATAATTTTGCTGAAGTATATGGTACATTCAACTGAAGTATATGGATCTCCAACTCCATCAACAACTTTAATACCTCTTTCAATTATTTTTTGATGCCAAAAAAATGGTTTCAACTAATATAAAGAAGCTTGTTAATAAGGAAATGATTAAATTTCTCATTGCAATAATAATCATAATTATTGCAATATCTAATCTAATTTTTATCTGATGATAAACTTTCGTTTACTTTCGTATCCCACAGACATTTGTTAATCTAATTATCTTCTATTTTACTCTACATTCCAACTTTCGTCCACTATTCGAACTTAAACTTCTTCGTGATAATACTCTCTTAATAATACTTTCTACTCTATTTATACTTATTTATCAACATTTATAGTGTTTAGCGATCTTTTTTAGCTCATTATCGATTTTCATGTCAACTATTATCAACTGCTAATTGATCAATTAATCCAGGAGAACCCCTTGAATCCCTTTACACGAGATCACATTTAATCTTAATCGTTCTTTACTTTTAAAAGTTTCAACCAATTTATCTGTCTCTTAACAGAGTAATGGTAAAAAGAGCACACAAAAAAATTCAAATGTTTGTTCGTTTTCTATTTTCTTTTTCATGTTTTACTCATTACAAGTATCTAGAACTTTCAAAATAACTCTGAGACACTGCCTGAAGGTTGATGAGGTTTTTTACTTGACCCTAGTTTTATTTCTCTATAAGGTACGTGAAACTCAAGGTTTTCTTCCTTCCTGAAAATCGATTCTCGAGTTTTCCCACCCTTCAAACTCCATCCCTCTTTTCCTTCCACCACCTATCCCATATATCCATTGTATCCTTTTGTCCTGCCACTCCCGTTAGGTTATATTTCTGCCTCTGAATAAAAGCGCGTGTAAATTTACCTATCTGACTACCCTCAACTTTATTGGACCAACAGGTTTTAACATCTCTCTCTCTCTCCCTCGTACATACACTAACACTTCCGGCCCTATTTTGCTCTTCACTGTTACCATGTCTGGTCTTGCCCATCTCCATTCGTCATTTTTTATCTTCCTCTCTCATTACCGCTTCTCTCCTTTGGTTTGAACTTGGATCCAACGAGTCGAGCATGAATTTAATGCATTCAGCTACACTTCAAATAACTCAAATATTCAATAGAGTAGCGGTAATTAATAATTAGTAGTTTCATCATTTCCTGCTTCTATAGGTATTTATTAAATATTTTAGTTTGTATTTATTTTATTTAAACACCTGTGAGGTGATTATTTTTAATGGTCAAAAACATTACACTTTTTTTGATGACTGTCAGCAAAAAATAGAAGAGTTCTTTTCAATGATGAATAGTTATTGCTCATCATAATAGAAAGAGATCCACTAATTTTTATCTTCAAATAGCATAATTTAATGCGAAAGTTTTTGATTCATTTAATTTTATTGTGTTTATAATCAACTTTCAGCTATTTTATTTACATTAATAGAAGCTTATAATCAGCAGAGATTTAATTATTAGG